CTTTCGAGCCTATACAGCTTGGAGTAAGACAACATGCATGAAGAGGATGATGTGGACAAAATACTCATTTGCCTAATAATTCTGCACTCCCTGTATAATTAACCCTACTAATAAGAGTCTATTCAGCTGACATATAATTATCGTCTGCTGTGCACAGGTTAGTCGATATTTCTGTACATTTAAAGCCCAATCAGTGGTTTTTAGAGTTCACTCTTAGTTTTCAGGTAACTAGGGGGAATTGAACAGTTAATCAAAGCTCTTCTTTTTGTCACAGCGCTACATGTGTTTCGCCAATCCAACAGAGGTGAAGCCTCCCGAAGACCTTCAGGACCTCGGCGTTCGCTTCCTGCAGCCCTTCGTTAACTTGTTGTCCAAAGCCACCTACTGGTGGATGAACACCTTCATTACCTCTGCTCACAAACGACCCATCGACCTCAAGGTCATTGGCAAACTGCCCATAGCAATGAGAGCACTCACAAACTATATAAAGCTTCGCAAGGCCTTTGAAGACCAAAAGGTTAGTATTAGTAGATCTTTGTGAACAGTAAGTGGGCTGAGGTTGTTGTCCAGCAAATAGTCAATGTGTGTGTCAAAAGCACATCTGCTTTCCTTGTATTTCCTTGTTTAAGCTGAATAAATGATTGCATATATATCAGGCGCTGATAACCAGCAAAGGTGAAATGCACAAATCTGTCCGTCCATGACTTTAATATGAATAATTCAGGGCCGTGTGGGTCCGGGGCCTTCTTTAGCATACCCTAACTTTTGTCCATCACTGAAATTCACCCTCATATTTACACCTACAGTCAATTCATTTACTTTACTTAAGTCTGTGGCCTGTTGGGGCAAAGCAGTGCTTTCACAGAAATCCATCCCACACAGGCAAAGTTAGAACACAAACTCTCAACACTGTGTTTCTTTTTGATTATCAGGGGATCATCTTGGACGTTGAGCTCTGAGACACAAATAAGACTTTAAGTATTTCTGTGAGAAGTCAACATGTTGCTTATTCTCTTCATTTTGGCCTGTTTTTGCTGTGCATTTAAAAAAAAAAGTTTCTGCCGGGTATGTTTGAATCAATGTCTTTCCTGCAGTGACTCATGGCTTGCTGAACTCTGGGACTAATAAACTTTATTTAGACATCATAGAGATGAGTACTTGACTAATGTAAACAGTGAATTGTCACACTGCCACGAGAATGTGCGTAGTGTATGTACACACGGTCAGGCTTATTCTCTATATCGTGCTTGTGTTTTATTTAGGATTTACCCCAGTTGTATACCATCCTCTCTACTGTTTTAGATATGTGCTGATTAAACCTTATTGTATTTATGATATTTATGGTGGTGATATATTAGATTACATTTTTGCATACTATAAGGGCTTTCTAGTACTTTTTCACCTCCATATATGTAAATGAGGAAATGCATAAAAGCACCTCGCTGGCTTTGACTTTCTGTGTTGGGCTTGCTTCACATCCCTGCATTTTTGAAGGTTTCCTCCTGGTATACGTCCATTTGCATAAGCCGGTTTTAAATGGATGTAATAACATTTTTATTTGCTGCTTATTAAAAAAGAAGAAGAAAAACTTTCTCTAATGAAATGTAATATTTATCTCTTTCAATTCCTCTTTCTTTAGCAGAATCGATAGATGAGTTAATTCTTAATATGGCTCCCAGAAAGATTCCATGTGTTTTAATAATATAATTATGATGTGTGTTTGGTATTTTCATTTGAGACTTTTATGTGGTGAACACAGCT